CTTTAAATTAGTTTTGATGGGTGGGATGTTGGCGTAGTGGCTCAGATTCCCTGTTTTGGGCATATCCTCAGCTTTGTTTTCTGGGCAACATTCCCTGTGATACTGCCCACACAGTGGCTCAGTTGCATAATTTCCTCCCAATTGATAAATGCCGTGAGGACAAAAGGAACTTTGAGTGCTAGGCTCATCTCTCTGTTCAGTGGAAACTGAGAGACCAATTTCAATCTCAACCTGACTCACAGGGCCCTATATCATTTGGCCTTTGGCTTCTGCTCCCCCACTGGCTCACTCTGAACCAGCCACATCATCCTCCAGGCTGACCTTCATACAAGTCCTGTCCTAGGGCTTTTGTACTTGTGACCTTTGTACTTGCCTAGAACCCATCTACAAAGTTTAAAGTACTTTTTGCAAACAACTTCTTTCTACCAGAAACTTCCATTTATCTGCACCCCTGGGGCTTATCACTTTTAATATTGTATTATTTTCCTATTGCTTCTCTCTCTATTACATAGGCCCTTTGAAGATACAAGCTTTCTCTTATCTGCTGTCTTTCTTGGCACAGGAGAGATACTAAGTACTTGCTAAATGTCTTTTTTTTTTTTTTTTGGTGAGGAAGATCGGCCCTGAGTTAACATCTGCCAATCCTCCTCTTTTTTGCTGAGGAAGACTGGCCCTGGGCTAACATCCGTGCCCATCTTCCTCCACTTTACATGGGACACCACCACAGCATGGCCTGCCAAGCAGTGCGTCAGTGCGTGCCCAGGATCCGAACCAGCAAACCCCGGGCCACCACAGCGGAGGTGCGCACCCAACCACTTGCACCACTGGGCCGGCCCCTAAGGTCCTTTTTAACCTTCATGTTGGGTATGCATTTATGATCTTGGGGCTCTTCAGGTGCATTTAGTTTAAAACAATTATATTCTTAATTTGTGACTATATGCAAAACAAGCAATTTACCACAGAGATAAGGCAAGGATATGACAAAAAACCCCATTTTAAAAAAAAAATAAAGCAAAACCAATGAAGAATGGTCAACGATTTACTTAGTAATTTTTTCAAACTCTCTGGGACAGGAAGGGTAGGGTGTCCTACAACAACATTTCACAAAGATAGTGGTTTAGATGTATGTTTCAAAATTGCTAGCGCCTGAATAAGTTTCTTTGAAAAGGCTAGGTTTATAAAAATACAAGTACAATCAAGTTAACTCAACAAACATTTATTAAAAGCTTGTATGACAGGTACTGTGTGCTACGTCCTGGGACACAAACACGACCGAGACACTATCCCTACTGTTAGAGTCTAAGATAGGAGACCAGTGCGGGGGGGGGGGGGGGGTGGACGACGACACAAAGATAACTTTATAACTACATTTGAACTGGACTTTTCAGGTAGAAAAGCAGATGATGAACATTCTAGGAACAGGAAAGAACATCAGCAAAGTACAGGTAGTCTCGTTTTGCTACTACTTATGGAACAAGGTGTATGAACGGCTGAAGAGCAGCCTGGGAAGACCAGGACCAGGCAACAAAAGGCTATCATGGCAAGAGGACTGGAGAGAAGGGAGAGATATCAGAGATGTTTTAAAGATAGGCTCAGCAGGACCTGAAAAATGCCACAGGACTGGTACTATATAGTGTTCAATTCTTCGTTTGGATAACTAAGTTGGATAGGAATGCCATTATGACAGGAAAAGTAAGAGAAACATGCTTTTTGGGGGGGATGAGAGTGGAGATAAAAAATTTCTAATGTTTAGTTGGACACCTTTTTTGCAGGACACAGCCATCCATATTAGGTTCGTGTCTGATGATATATATCTACCCGCATTAAGTCCTTGAAGGCCAGGCACATCTAAGAGAAGATATTTTCTACCTTAGTTTCTTATTTCAACTATCCTTGTTAAAATATTTCCATACTCCACTGAACTGGAAAGGGCGCACAGGTATCCCCACTTATATATTTTGCCTTAAGCAAACATTTAAAAGAAATCTCATAAGCAATTTAAAGGATTTATTGACAGGGGTTCGCAACAAGACAGATGTAGAACCACTGAGGCCTTGGACCGTATTATCCAAGCACAGAAAACCCTTAGCTATGTCACCTGACACTTCAATCCAGTTCATGTTTAATTTTGCTATGTGTTACATTAGTGTGCAAAGCACTAAGGAATATAGGGAGGACTTCAACAGAATCACTTATCCACAGTAGCTTAAGCAGGGAGAGAAAAGTCATACCTTCGATGAGAGGTAGAAATTACTTTAAGAATTATAATAAAGAGAGAGTCACCGAAGTACAAAGGAAGATGCATCTTCTATTTACCTAATCAGCTACTAATCTAGTTGTTTAGGGCTGCAGAAACAGCTTGTTGAGATAAGATAGTTTTATGGCAGTGTGGCTGCCCCAGTGAGGAGTAACGTGCTCCTGGAGCGAGCAGATCCCCTATGAAGAGAAAACTTAGAATATCAGCGGAGCATATTGAATTTCTTCCTGTCAGAAATAACTGAGATGCAATGACCCCTTCTTCTGCTTATTTCCTTCTCTCTTCGCATAGCGTCAGGAGTCACTCATTTAAGTAAGTTAGTAGATCTGTTTGCGTACTCAGGAAAGCAACAGAATGTCCTTATTCTTTACTGAATGTCCTTATGGTACAACTTGAAGTTCAGCAACACCAGACTCATGGTAACTCGAAGCAAGTTGCCCAGGTCTCAATTTCCATCTTTTCTGAAAATGCCCAGTGTTTAATCAGGACTTATTTAATTAAAACCACTAATACACCAGGCTACCCTACCAAGTAAAGATGATCTGTTAAATAAATAAACAAGTAACTTTAGTGACAATCTTCATTCTGTTGCACTCGCTTTGAAAATAGACGTTACTGTTTCCACAACTCTCTAAAAATCAGTCTTTTGTGAAGAGGAACTACTATATAAATTTTTACATTATTATAAACTACAAAGAGGTTTAATATCTATCCAATTTAGTATTCAAGTCTACAGGAAAAAAATCAGTGACAACTGCTTTATTAAAAGTTACTGAATTCCATAAAGCACACAATGTAATTTATATTCAACTAACAAAAATTTGATACATGTATTTAAAAATATATAATATATAGATTTATCTGTCTTAACATTTATATTCTATTTAAAAAGCAGTAGCTTTACATATTTTACAACTTGAATTTATAAAATATATACATCCCCCCATTCAAATTCTTAAGCACAAGCTTCCATTCCTATTAATAAAACATACAATTTGTATTTCTGAATATGAGAGGAAAATGGACCAACTAAAAACAGCAAATCCATTTTGACTTAAACATGCACTTAATTATTGGCTACTAGATAATTAACCTAATAATCTATTCAAACAATTATTTCACCCCAAGCCTGACAATCAATTTGCATTTATGTAAACAATCTGTGGTTAACCATGAAGAGACTTGCATTTTCATGGAATCTGATACAATCTACCAAATTCCTTACTAGCCTTGTTTCAGGCTTTAAAATTAGAGAGGCAGGAGTATTCAATCTTTCTATGTACCATGAAATCAGACAAGTGATGTCACACCAACAAGCCAAAGCCCAGTATGTTTTGAAATCACGCTTTTGCCTTTGAGAAGACAGCTCAGAAGTACTGCAGGAGCAAACTTTTCTCAAAGCCCTGACAGTGCATGTACAAAGAAATAGAACAAGAACTGCTTCTCCTCTTCCTAGTCAACTGCACTTCACTTGCGACACTGGGGTTCTTTAGGTACGTGACGGTACATCAGCTTCTATTCAGGCGTCCCTTCCACATATTTCATATCAACAAAAAGTTTTTCATAAAAAAAAGATATTTATGTAATCATTCTGGAGATTTATCCCCAAACATAAGTCCCAATACTAACATTTGAGAATTAAAATCACAATAAACACCTCAGGACCATAGCCAAAACCAGAACTTCAACTCCAAAGGTAGAGATCTAAGTTTGAAGCACATGTTTAGATTCAGTCGGCCTCTAACGATGACGTATATAAGCCTATCTTTAAGTTAATGCACAATTTATGCTGAGAAAGCAAAAGTCTCCCACAAATTATTATTTTTAAAAAATTGTTTCAAATCTCAAAATGGCTTCGAAACTTAAATGAAAAAACACTTTTACCAAAGCAAGTAATTTAATTCATTTGGGCAATAATTAGGTTTTGGGAGAGTCACCATCCAAAAAGCAAACAAAATTCCTTTAATATTAGTATTTAAGAACTGAAGTATAATTAGCTCATTTATCAAGTAGTCAATTATTCAACAGATTTAGCCATCTACTGATGAACTCAAGTTAAATATCAGAAATTCTATGTTATTTGTAGGAAGGGGTCTTTTTATTTTAAAAAAAATTTCTGATGTAATTTTAATAATTTCCCTTCTCTAGATTCTCTAACCTCAAGAAAAGGAAGGGAAAGGAAGAAGGAAAGAAAGAAGGAAGAACAACTTAGAAGTCAGAAAGGGAAACTGCTGAACTAATACAATGGACATCTGTAAGGAGACAGGAAGAAAAATAACAGAGGGGTAAAAAACAAACAAAAAACCAAAGAAATGACTGCAAAACCGATTAGGGCCAGTTGGTGCAGATTAAAAGACACCTTCTTCACAGCTCTTAATCATGCAAAGGCATTAGCGCAAACACAGAACAGTGCACTAGCTGATTTTGATAATTATCACAATGAATCCTCAAAAGAGAAACATATGGTAAAGCCTCAGTTCTTTTTGAAAACCAATTTAGATACACAATTACAAATCTTAAGCATTCAGCTAAAATATATACAAAAAACTATATAAAATTGAGATCGAGAAAATATAAGCAGCAGTAACCATAAAGGCTTAGAACTAGTGACACTGAATTCTTTATTTAAAAAAAAAATTTGAACACACAGTACCTCCTCTTCTATTTTTTAGGAAGAAGCTTTAACAAGTTTTAAATACCTCAATTCTCAAAATCTCAAAAACAACGGCTTTTTAAAAAATAAGACTTGATTACCAGAAACAAGTAATATGGGGTTACATACCATTTTCTTATCACTACTCATTTCCGTTATTTGTCAAATCATCTTTGATGCAATCTGGGAACAATTAAGCAGTCACTAGATACCTGTTTCCGAATCTGAAGAAACTATTATCCACCACAGGAATCTAATGATATATATATATTTGTATACATTTAAAACTTCAGAAGGGAAAAAGTAATAAACTATTCTAGTGACTTTATACCAAATATTTAAATAGTCAAAACAATAAGGATTAAGATCTTTCTCAGATGAACAGCCTTATAAAAGCTATTTTTAGCATTTTCTTCTGGGGATTAAAAAAAGCATTATTTCCCTGCTAGCTAAAAGGAGGAATTTACACATTACAAGTAAGTCCTTTAGAGGTGAATATTAAATTTCTTAGGAGAACGGCCATAAAATTTATTTTTAAAAATTTATTTTAAAAAACTGAAAACCATTTCTCTTTAAAATCTATGGCATTAATACCTACTTGACGTAATATATTTTTTTGAAAGGGCACCAAGTTCATGATCTAAGCATGCAAAATAAGGAACTGAATGTATCACTGTCTTAAAAGAATTTGGCAAACAGAATGGCCTTAAAATAAATAAATAAATAAATAAAAAAGAAGCAAGTACATATTCTCTAAATGTGAAAGTGTAATTTGTAGGCCTATGCAGCAGACAGAGCCCATAGAGGGAATGCAGGGAAGAGGGAAGTGGCGTGTTCCTATGTACATTTTCTTGGTATTCGGGTTGTCATTCAACAACACATTACAGAGAAAAATTCTTTTAATTATTACAAAGCCATTAATTGCTCTCTCTAGAGCAAAGATTCAGGTAAACGTCTTATGTCTTTTAATAATGTAACTTACATTTAAAATGAACTTATTAAATCTAAGTGCAAAGGAGTTTTCAAAGATATCTAAGTTGAAGGGAGTAATGAATAAGGTGTTATCTGATTGCAAATTTTGAATGGTTAGTATTTTTATATTTTAGGATATTTCATGTTATTCTCTTCTCATTAAACCATAAAATGTACTGAAATTATTTGGTTTTCCTTTACTTTCCTCTGCTTCATTTTAATTTATTTTATGGTATCTCTATGCAGAGAGAGAGGTATGTTAAAACACTGTTATTTGTACAAAAAACTCAATTGAGGCTATATATGACCTATTAATCTACAGTATAGCATTGTTAATCTTTGACCTAGTATATTAATTCCTTTGGTGAATAAATGTCACAGGTCATTTCTTTATAAAAGGATAAGAGGACCAGCAGTATGGAGAGAGATTCCCCACTCACCTCAGAAAATGATCAAGTCAATCAGTAGTTTAGAGCAGTTATGTAAAATATGAAAAATACATAATTTACAGCTGCAATTTTCATATTCTGCAATTTTCATATTAAAAAGCAGTTAAAAACTAAGAGTAATTCAAAGCATTCCAAAAAACATTTTCTGTCTTGGTTAAACAGGCCAACTAATAAGACTGATAGAGAATACTGTGAGAACTTATGTATGTATATCTAGTCAAGATAGAACAAAAATGTTTTTAATTTTAAAAAGTGGTAGTTGCTAACTAGCAGTATAAACAGTGTCCACAATTTGGTGGCTGGCCATAGTTTAAATTTTTTTTCAAGTTATTTCTGCAGCAGACATATTTTTGAAGTCTACCCACCCCTGAGTTCAGCAATTATACTTTTAGAGTGTAAAATTATATGCCCTTAATTAACAACATGTACAAAGCTACAAAATGTCATCTATACAGAGATAAAAACAATTTTTAAAATATTCTTTGCCAATTACTGATTGGATAGTTTTGCTGGGGTACATATTTCAAACCTTTCAGCCAACTGGCTTTTATTTTTAAGCCCAAACTGATTCATATATTCACTGCAGGATATGTCAAAAAGAGTGCAACAACAGGCATTAGTAAAAATAACATTGTAGTAGAAACAGATTTTGCATATGTGAAAAGGTAATTTATAAAATACATTAATTGCTTTTTAAAAAGAGAACCTAGTTGCAGTATCATTAACTACACGGTACTGAGAACTGGACATTTCAACATTTTTTTTCTTTAGAAAAATTTTATCTAGCTGTAAGCAAAGTCTTTTAAACAAGAAAACAGAACAAAACAAATCCCTCCAGGCAAAACTGTATGGTTGTGTGAGACAAGTAAGCAAACATACCATTCCATAGTGTACTTTTGCTTAAATTTTAAAATAAAAATGTCCACACTCTTTTGTTAAAACATTAAGCCTCTGTCAAAAATGTATTTCTTATTTTAGGGTACAGGAATTGAAGGACAAGATGATACTTACAGGTAAAGAAAATTTACAAGAAAAAACTTGACAAAAGTTTTTCAATTAAAGTATTCTAACATTCAAACTTGACTTAAAACATAAAAGAAACAAAATAGCAAACAAAAATGTTTATGGATTTTCCAAACATAAATAAACAAAATAGTGTTTAGGCAGTAGGGCTCATGCTGATGGCTAGCAGGAAGTAACAGAGTGTAATCTACTTGGAAAAATCATTAATGTACAAATAACAAGCCCAAATCATGGACTGCAGCAGTTTAATCATTACTGCCATTTTTCTTACTTCCAAAATAAAGCCGTGATTAAACCATTCATACCCTATATTATTCAGACCTTCAGAGGACTTCAGAGACTGAGGAACTATATACAATAAATGAATTTATTTTCACCATAGGGATAACATATTGTACCTCTCTGCCAATGTTACTTGAAAACCTTCCATGTCAAAACAATTTGACAGCAGATATAAACAATTCAATAAATATGCAATGATCTTTCATTACAGTCCTTTAAAGATGCATGTTAATTCATGCTGTTAACCTTAGGCTCACAGTGCATAGAATCCAAATATAAATGGTTGGGGTGACTTTCAAAGTAATGTTGGCTCCCTCACTTTATTTATAATCCCACTGTAACCGATAAGTTCATTTCATAGGCCCTATCATGCATTAATCACTGGGTGGCAGGAGTTAATGAAAATTTTTCCTGTTACAACGTCCATTGCCGGCAATGAACGTCCCAAAACCGCCAAGAAGTCATTGTTATTGCACAATACATGAGGACCTGGAACTTTTCCAAAAGCTTAAAAAAATAAAAATAAAAAATGGAATTATATTTGACATTTCCTGACACCTGCATTAATACTGTATGACTAATAAAAGCATGTCAGTTGTCTGGACTGAACCAGCGATCAACATGCGCCCAGAATGCACACGAGTAAAAATGCAGTAAAAGGAAGTAGTCTTCATTGCCTATAGGTCACTTCCAGTCAAAGGTTAAAGTTCAAAGACTGAATGATCAAAGTGCTCATTTTCTCAGTAGGACTATCTTCTGCTAGGAGGATGATAACAGTGGCATCAACAAGTATCATCTTTAAGAAAAGGAGAAAAAAGATAATTAAAAAAGTCAAGCATGCATAAGTAAAATCTATAAGTTAGTCTAACATAGAAATAATTTCAAGTAGCAAGAAGAACATGGTTTACATGTCTGACTTGCCTCCCCCAATCCCTGCAAATAAAAGGTGCAAGTTGTATTTAATTATATAGTGACAAACAACTCAAGTTCTACTCTTTCAGAGAAACGGTAGTTCACACAAATCTTAAAATGACATATTATTAGTATGTTAGTTCTATTTAAAATAATAAACTGATATATATTAGCACATATTCAGGATTTATCAGTCTTAAGAGAACTCTTTTATGGGCAACAATTTAAAATTGTAACAAGACAGGAAGTGAACTCTTGCCCAACACTGTCATGCTATTTAACACGGAATAATACAAGTCATGTCTTTAGTTTACAGAGGAAATAACAAATGAGGTACAATCTCCAAATCAATGAATAAAGTTAGTTATTAATTTCTCCATAGAAAATAAGTTTTCAGCAAGTACAGATACATATGCAAAGGAGGTAATTAAAAAAACCCTACAGCTGTTAGCTCAGGGCTGATCTTCCTCACACTCACACACACACACACACACACACACACACACACAATCCTACAGCATTATTTAGTAATGCCTTCTGGTAGCCTCAACATATTATATTTATGTAACAATTTTTTGGGTTCATGACTTATTTTACAAAATTTGTTTCACAAAACATATCTGAATATTTATTTTGAGGACTGGTTATTCTTCAGAAAGAAGCTTTAGAAAGAAGCTAGACTAGTGGCCACTACCCAAGACCAGTAAAAGCTCTCGAGGAGAAAATTCTGAAAAATTGGCCAAAATGTTTTATAAACCATCCCATGTTAGGATCGATATACTGCTTACAAAACTCCCATTCATAAAGACTCAATGAGGGGCCGGCCCTGTGGCTTAGCGGTCAAGTGCGTGCTCCACTACTGGTGGCCCAGGTTCGGATCCCAAGCACCGACGCACTGCTTGTCTGGCCATGCTGAAGTGGCTTCCCACATACAGCAACCAGAAGGATGTGCAACTATGACATACAACTATCTACTGGGGCTTTGGGGAGAAAAAGGGGAAGAAAGGAGGAGGATTGGACGTAGGTGTTAGCTCAGGGCCAGTCTTCCTCCGCAAAAAAAAAAAAAAAAAGGATTAGCTCAGGGCTGATCTTCGTCACACACACACACAAAAGACTCAATGAGAGCTAAAAAGCTGTAATTTTGTCGTCTAAGCTGGGCAAACTAACGGAATATTTCACAATCCTATACCGTAAGGGTAATCTAAAGGGTGAAACAGACTAGATTTTTTAAATAAATCATATCTAAATTATTACAATCTTTTAAATAAATAAATAAGAATATCTTTAAGAAGAAACCAAGTGGATAGTTTATAGCCTCTAAGTGTCAGATGAAAGTATCTGTTTCTTAAGTTACTGTGGAACTTGGAATAAAGAGGATATATTTGTCACAGATGCAGAACAAACGTAAAAATATGAAGAGGCTTCCTTAAAACATCACTTCTCTAGTAAAGTATTTTGTAACACTAGGGTCCTTGAAATCAATACTAAAACTAATCACACTTAAATCTCTAAGCTAAGAGGTGGCACTAAACTCTACCTAATATGTCAACTACCGGCGATAAACTTGAGTATCATACCACGAGACAATGTATGCAATAAGAAAAGTGACAGATGAAATTTAACTTGAACATAGTGTTATCTAGTTAACCACCAGTAAGCTTTTACCTCCCAAGACACATCATCTTTGATAGGTGGCATCTTAAATGTATCTTTATCAGGTTGTTCACTCTGGAAGTTCTTCAGTATAGAAGGCTGCTGTACTATGTGCTACCAACCACCAAAATGATTATAGGAGATACATATGAAGCTATTCTCCCTATCCCAATCTCCATCTCAGATCTTAAAAGAAATTTAGGACTAATATGATACTACCTGCCTTGAATACTTCCATCTTTGGAAAAATAAACTTACTAAATAAGTTCTGAAGATAGTGTTCAGTTATCTCTGATAGCTGGACCATGGAGACTTAAACATTACAAATCCATGATGGCTATATGTAATCAAGAGTCTGTGAGCAAATATTAAGCATGGAGCCAGGTATGAGCCAAAGCCATGGTGGCCACTCTTTCCCTAAATAAGAAAGCCATCACTAAGAAGCAAAAAACTCATTTGTTAGCAGAAGGAAGACAGTTTCCTAGCTAGATGAAAAGGATTATTTGATACTAGGACTAGTTTACGAAAAAAAGTCAAAGTAAACCCATCTTGGATCAAGACAAATACAGGTCTATAAAAGGTGGTAAAAGCACGGAATATATTTAACCCCCTGGCTAAAGTATTTGTGGCAAGATGATGGCCTGATAAAAAAAATGTCATATTAACCATTTACATTTTTTCTGGAACTGCAGAAGCCCCTACTAAAATTATACCTTCAAATATAATATACAAATTACCACTTCCAAAGAGGTGACACCTACCACAGCTAACTTCACTGGGCTTCTGGGAAACGTGAATGAGAGAGAACTATATTAGAAGGTCATTTAGTTTTTCCCAGAGTATGAGAACCATCACATTATATTGGAAACCATCTCCCCTGGATATTCCCAGGGACAGAAGACTAGAAGAAAAGGAACATAGTAATATGTCAGTAGATATGAAGTGGGATGCTACCTCCAAAAAAGACAAAAATAAATCCTTACAGTTAGGTTTGTCTCTCAACAGTTAGGGAATTAAAGTTTTCCTCTGATGAACTGATTGAAGAAAGATTTCAGAGTAGACAATACAATTGTTATCCAGAAGGAAATATAGGGCAAAGATTTTAACACTGAGTAAAAGTTTGGACTCAGGAATTTAGAAAGTGGTTTTGTAACCCTAAAAGGTAGCACAAATAAAAAGGTTCACAACTAACATAGGTAAATCTATGGACAGCTAAAAGGTAGACAGAAAAGGAGTTTGTTAATACTAATCTAATTTTCTGTTCTTATCCCCTTATAATCCTTATAATTGTACAGGATTACAATTGTTCCATTCCAGCTGAACGGAACCACAATGTAGTCTATAGTTTTGTAAAAAAGATATTCCTCTATTCCTCCCAAAATTACAGAGTCATCAGTTTACTGGACATATCTAAACATTATGCTAATTTATTTCCTATAAGCTTATTTTCTGGAGCCAATACTCAATAGCAGTCTTAAGCTATATTGTTCAATTCTCTATCACCTTAAGGAAAATGCTTCAGGAACCACAGATCTGCACTCCTATCTGTGGAAAGCAATCATTTATGAAACGAAGTTGTATATGTTTAATATTGATCCCAGGAAACAGACAGATTATATTATTAATGGATTCCAGTTGGCTCTTTGAAGTATTTTTATGATCACATAAAAAGATACTTTTTATCTTTTTCAGGAACAATCATGTCTGTTTTATGATATTGAACTTTGAGGCTCAATTATTCATTTGTACACTGAATCGGATAAAGATGTGTTTCTAAAGAAAATTCTAGCCCTGAATCATAGGTAAATTCCTCAGCCCTTTTGTATCTGAGATGAGTTGTCCATTCAAATGCCTATTTTGGTTAGGTCTCTTTGTTTTTTAAACCTTATTCTCTCTGCTCAATTGATTTTTCAAACTATATGCACCCCTGCCTTAATTGGTAACAGAATATTTGCAGTCCAATGCAGAAATGACCTTACTCAACTTCAAGTAAGTAAAAATAAGGAACAGGTATTCACACGTCAATGACTTCTACACCTGAATAAGTTATTGTCTGCTAGAGAAGAACCTCAAATGCAACATAAAATATGATGTATACAAACACAACAGTAGGGGAACAGTGACTGGCCTAATTTTCAATGTGTACTAACTAATAATGTGGAACATCACAAATTTAAGCTGACAGAGGCTTTTTTTCAAGAACCCAACACTGGTATCTGACAGCTCAATTTTGGTGTGTCAGCTGAGTCCTCCTCTTCTAAAACCAGGAGATGAACTGAATTTCAGATTTGTTGTTTTTCATTAATAGCGCCTCCATCCTGCATCCAGGAAGGCCCCTCTGAAGCACACAGATATCTAAATCAACACCTCTCTTGCCTCTTGGACTACACCTCACAAACACGCTGACCCAAGTATGCTGGTGAGCACCACACAGGAGGACTGTGGAGCTTCATACCTGAGGCCCACAATTCAGCCTGGTTTCTAAAAATGGAAGTGTTTCAGTGAGCTCATCCAATTCCAAGCAAGTCTTTGTTTAGTCTCTGGTCTTTTTGTTTGGCTTTGCAGGTCACATCAGGACGTTGGTCTGACCTTATAATCCTCCGAGAATTAGTTGATGCTAAGAAATAACAAGAGTCCACATTTCATGGTAACTTGGGGTTATAAGGAGAACATGATCAATGAAGATCTTTTGGAACTAAAGCAGCTAAGCAGAAAAACATAAGCTGACATCTGGAAAGCTTTAAAACAAAGCTGACGTGTTCTGTTTTATGAGTAAGTATGATTACCTTTTTGATAAGATTTTCCAAATTCAACAATAAGGCCAAGGTGGGCTATTTTTCACATAGCCTGTAACTGAAATGTATAAAGAAGACAACATATGCTACACAGCTGAAATGCTTTGGCCTTTTAAAGGTGAAGGAAGAGTTCAAGGAAGATTCTCTGTATCCACCTACCTTTATGACACAGCAGTTGCTCTGTCATCTCGAAGTATAACTAATATTACCCTTACTCGATTTCATATGAGATTTACTCATGGAACAAAATTGTTGATTTAAGGAAGAATTCGAGAGGGGACTGATTCAGGCATGCAGGGTTCAAGCAGGAGCAGAAAACGTGCTGAGATAAGAATGGCCACCGTATGTCAATGAACCAAGGATGTTTTAAACAGAATTATCTGTAGACAAAAAAATATATCTGTACCTGGGACAAGAAACTGGACCAGGATAGTTATGATTTAGTTGAATTAGAATCCAATGCCTTTTAGAAAAGGCTAATTTGTATTCAGGGGGAACAAAGAGGGGATACTTTTAATCTGTTTATTGAGAAAATGAATTTCTACACAAACCCTGGACTATTTTACATTACGTTAAGAAGTTAATTTTGTTTGAAAAACCTCTTCGCTTGGCACTTCTTGGCTAACTTGGAGATGATCCATCTTCAAACTATTAAAAGATTTTTCTACTTCAATTATGAAAGTATGGATTTCTCAGTTAATAGAGAAAAGCTATTAACTCTATGAAAAATAACTTCTACTATGAAGTGTATTTTATTTTAAACAATTTTTATATTTCTAGTTTCACTATGTGACTTTTCCCCATTTCTTATTCAAAAGCAAGTAATAAGAAATTCTGGAAGTATTCTTAGATAGAGGAATTCTCATAAGTTCTTTCAACTATATAAGGCAGCATTAGAGGGCTTGAAAGACGGTTGTCTTTTTAACATTTCCCTACCAGGGAGTAAGGAAGAGATCAATAGGAATAGACCATGTAACACTGGGGTGGTATAGAGTGGTAGACAGGGTTCTACTTTCAAAATATATGCACATATTTTTTAAATTCATCACTTGAAGACAATTTCTTCACAAGTTTTATGAAAAACAAAGTGGTTTAAAAACACTGTAGGAAAAGACAACGGGGGGATTTTTCTATTATTAGTGAGGTTGAATCTGAAATACAATTGACTACTATCTTAAGAACTTTGACACTTTAAAAAAGCGTTTGATTTAGTTGTGTTTGTCAATATTCTTGATTGACTGATCTTAATTTTTGATGAATTTGGGGACTTACTATGCTAAGATAAAGGGTCTGTGACACTCAAGGAATTTTTTTTAAAGGCTCTTTGTAAAGGCACAGAGGGAAGAGGCAGCTTAGTGTTTGGTCCTAAAAGGCAAGAGGATGTAAAAGACTGAGAAGCCAGCAACATAAATTGTAGTGAAAGGCCATTTCATTAAAGCAGGGTCTTGTTAAAAGTTTCAGCGAACTTTCAGTGCTCAGAAAGAATTCCTTAAGCCTGATTATTAATGCATCTTACTTGGAAACCAGTCTTTTTATATCTGAGAATCCCTGAAACAGAAGGTCTCAAGTGACTAGCTGTACCAAAATAATCTGGGGATATCTTAAAACTAAAACAAAACCGGCATTCTAGGCACAGTAATAAAGTTTATTAGATTCCTTAAAGGAAGGAGTAATCAACAAGGCTTTGGTGAAAGAGAGGGGTGTGTGTAGTGGAAGGATTCATTCCAGGCAAATAGCATATGTAGAGGCAACAACAGGGAGGATAAGGAATAGAGAGTATATTATAAATAACGATCCACTGAATATTTCACGCATAAAACGTTTCTTGTATTAAAGACGATTTTCTTAGGATGGATTCTCAGAAGTATAGTAACTGAGACAAAGATCTGATCTTGAACTTTAAGCTTGTTCAGTATTGCTGCACTACTTCCTTAAAGGGTTAGACTTAAAGGATTGCTATACTACCAGCAAGTGTGAAAACCCTGTTTTATGCTACCCTTTACTCTCCTCCAGCATTGCACTCATCTTATAAAACTTGGCCAATTCAATAATAGTTTCAAGATATTAAATTTGTAATTATTTTACTGTGTTGAACTTTTTTGCCTATGCTTTTAATTAATTGTATTTATTGTTAAGCAACTTTCATAAATGTTATTTTTAATAAGCTATGCTTTTCACAATTTTTTTTAACTTAATATTGACTGTGCTGTGAGGTTTTTCGGTGCTTGTATAAAAGGTTTAAATTTTCATAACTGTTCCATTTCTTTGTGATTCCTTTTAATTTTAGAAATTCTTCCTTCATTCAGAGTTGATACCCAAAACTTTAAAAAAAAAACTTTTTCTATTGCTGTATTTTTTTTTCTTGTGAGGAAGATCAGCCCTGTGCTAACATCTGCCAATCCTCCTCTTTTTGCTGAGGAAGACTGGCCCTGGGCTAACATCTGTGCCCATCTTCCTCCACTTTATATGGGACACCGCCCCAGCATGGCTTGCCAAGCGGTGCGTCAGCGCGCGCCTGGGATCCGAACTGGCAAACCCTGGGCCACCACAGCGGAACGCGCGCACTTAACCACTTGCACCACCGGGCAAGACCCTCTACTGCTGTATTTTTAAAAAATACTTAATTTAATCCACAGGAAATATTTTATATATGAAGTAAAAATGTAAATTTTTCTGTCCCAAAATAATTACTAATTCTCTAACAGGAATACTTACTAAATAATGTTCGCCCTTCTCACTGATTTGTGACACCTTATTTAACACATATTTAAATCTTATATAGGGCTGGCCCGTGGCTTAGCAGTTAAGTGCGCATGCTCCACTACTGGCGGCCCAGGTTCGGATCCTGGGCGCGCACCGACGCACCGCTTGCCCGGCCATGCTGAGGCCGCGTCCCACATACAACAACTAGAAGGATGTGCAACTATGACATACAACTATCTACTGGGGCTTTGGGGGAAAAAATAAAAAAAAAGGAGGAGGATTGGCAATAGATGTTAGCTCAGAGCTGGTCTTCCTCAGCAAAAAGAGGAGGATTAGCATGGATGTTAGCTCAGGGCTGATCTTTCGCACAAAAATAAATAAATAAAAAAATATATATATCGTATATACAAAAAGGCCTAGAAAAGAGCAATTCTACTTCAACGTCTATTCTTGCATTAATGTTTTGGTGTCTGGTACACTAATTCTCCTTCATTATCCTGTAGTTCAAAATTCAAACTGCTCTTCTCACCTTTTGTTTTTTCTAAACCTTTCAAAGCACTCGCTCCATCATAACACTGGATTTTTACTGAATTACATTAAACCTATAATTTCTAAAGAACATACTTTTTTTATAATTCTGGTTTTTCATCAGAGTATCTCTATTTCTCACAGCTCTTAAAAGTTCTGTCATTTCTTCTTCTAGGTCACCTATATTTCTCATTAACATTATCCCAAATATTCATATTTCTGTGGCTCTCAGGAATGGCATTCCTCTTTCACTGTGTTTTCTAACTTGTAACTGCTGTTTTAGTGCTATTGTATTGACTCTAGCCCTCTTTTATCTCAAGACTTAGAGAACTCTTATAATTAAAAAAAAATTTTTAATTGACTCAAATTAAAAGAGGTAACAGAGTTTCACATTGGATAGAAAGGTTTAAGGGGGGAAGGCTATATTTCTATTAATTAGTTTTGTTAGTTCTAATTTCTTATTAGGATAACATTTAAAAAAGGAAATGCTCTTACATATAAAAGAATCACAGAGGGTGGTTTTTATTCACTTGCTTCAAAAAGTACATTGAGGAATATAGAATTTTTGTTTTTAATCTCAAATACCTCTATGGGGAAGCAGTAATGTCAGTTTAGAAAAGATGCTGGCAGCTTTCAAATATAAAGCTACCATCACCCTCCCAACAATAACAAGAGACATTTAAAATTCCTGAGAGTACTATATTCATAAGGCCATCATCAGCAGAACAAATTTTTTGAGGAATAACTATTAGAATAGGAAGAGCTTTCTTTAATTTAATGGGTCATCTCTTACAATGTGGTTCCACCCTTTTCCCTGCCACTAAGAAGAGTACCAGAACTAAATGAATACACAAAGCATCAAAACTTCTATTTCAAATAGCACGTTTCCTAATTTGATCTGAAGATTATTAAGGACTTCTTTTTTGTAATAAAATGGTAGTTTCAGAATGTTAATGCAATTTTAGATTTTACTTGTATGATGGCTAATTTTATGTGCCCCATTAAAAATCTAGTCTAACTTATCCATAAAATATCTTAAAGAATCTTCTCCACATTACAAAAATATATCAATTATATATTTTCTTCTTTTCCCCAAGCAAACAGACATATAATCTTTCAAACCAAAATGCTAAAAGTTATTATTCTAAGATAAAACTGCTTACCATGATACCACCACTTTGTTTTCTTTGGATTCTTGTTACATGTTCGAACATAAAAAGAATTATCTGGTGGTCGCCTCTGAAACCAAAAAGAGTTTAAGTAGATTAGAAGTTATAAAACAGAAAAACATAAGGGGGAGACAGTTTTAATAAAAGCTTTAGCAAAATTATTACAGCATGTATAAAAACAATATAAATACTGATGGCATAGCTGAAAGAATAATATACACCAGGACATGTAGACTCTTGACACTAAAATTGTTTAAAAAAAATAGGAATGAGTGTGTTTGATTTGGGTTAGGTTACAGCGGGATTACTAGAGAATGACTATCAACCAAATGTGGCGGCATTTGGTTGTAAAGAATTTTGGTTTCATTGATCTTATCTCCCTAGAAGTAATTTAATAATTACTAAATTTTATGAGCTAATTAAAACAGAAAAGTCTAACTAGGTTTGTCTAAGAAACTATAGCAACTTATAAACCTCCACAAGGAAATATTGTTTTTCTGTAATATAGTACCATCAAAGACAGACCAAAGGATTCAGTTTCCAAACAATATATAAGAGGAAAAAAGAGGAAAAGATATATTGGCATTTCTGCTAGACATATGCCCTGACTCACAAAATACTAGAAATATATGGCAGCTCTGCAAGGGAGCTACATCAGAAATAGTGATGCCAACAACACTGAAGATAGATTATGGAAGAGAATTTTCCTGAAAACTGTTGGATATTGATCAGACACAAGAAATATGTGACTCTCTACAAAGACTTGGAAACATGTCAAATTTGTACTAAAGCCACAGGGGTCAGGTTTGTAGATAGGACAGGTCCAACCAAAAAGCAGTGGTGAGCAGGACTACCTAGATGATAGCAGGAAGAAAAACAGGCAGTCCACTTGGCACTTCTAAAACCCATGTATCTAACTATTATCTTAGCTGAGCCTCATAATACCCTTATGAGTTAACAGTAATAGTAATTTAACAAAAGGGAAGAGTAGAGCATAAGAAGTTAAATAACTATCCCAAGATTATCCTGTTGATACAGTTTGAGAAAATTCCTGAAAAATTGATATTATGAAATTAGATGCCTGACTACTTCAAAGAATAGATGATCTGCTGTTGTCTGTCCTGCAAAGTCATAACCAGTGTTCATGTGGAATAAATCGCCACTTCTATAGCAAATAATATCATAAACCCATTTTATCTGTATATTTATTAGAAACCAATCTTCAAAAAAAATAAATATTTAACAAAGAAAAAACCACTCATTCTGTTTGCTTAAGTAAAGAATATAACCAAAATGGTAAGTGATCACGGAGATGTGGTTTTTACAAAAATCAAGTAACTATACAAAAAGATGGATTACCAAAATTGGTTTAGGAATGGAATACAAGCTGGAAAGTTTGGACTATCTATATAAGGGCACTGAGAATACAGGGTAGATTACTGAGAGGTCCCTGGTCTCAATATCAGAAATTATCATTAATCCACTGAAATCTACTGATACAATGGATTTAAATGCCTTCAGTTTAGGAAACCATTCTTGATTGTGAAAAAGGAAACTGGAAAGAAAGAATTATGACTAAATCAAAGTCCCAAAATGCCTACAGTAAAAATTAAAATTTGTATTCAAAGAGAGTTGGCTATTAAAGTGAAACTCATAGAACCATGTCCACCACAGAATAAAATTTACCCGTTTTATTAGAAGAGCTTTTGGTGAGTATTTAAAAGAATTTTTAAAGCTTATTTGGAGCTAGATCCTCTCAGTGCCAAAGCAAGCTTCCTCTTCATCTCTGTAACCTAGAACTTAGCCCAGTAAAAACAGCACATAGTAGGTATCTAATAAATGTTTGCTGAATTTTATCATATTTCACAGAATAATGCCAAGATTCTGACTTCCAGATGATAATCTGGACATTGTTTATCAATATGATAGTGTATAAAACTATGATAACATAGCTTATCAATAATTTAAGTGGAATGATTAGTCTTATACTAAGTATGCAAGAAACACTAGCAGCAGACAATTAGAATGTGAGGGAATGGTGAGGGTTAGAAAAAGAGGAAGGAGATATGAAAATATAGTCATTTTCTAGTTTTTAATAGTAAACCATTACATTTAAATGTAAACAAAAGCTAATAATCATAAGGCACAGCCAAGAGCTATGTGCATATATCACTGGTGTTCATCTCTTGACTTTCTTATTAAATCCTACAGTTACTGCCTCACTTTTCTGTGGACATTAAACATTAACAGGAACATAGAAGCCCTTGTAACTGCAAACTGCTCTGCTCTACACCTCGAAGTTTAAACCTTGTATGTGTGTTGGGGGTTGGAGGTGAGGGAGAGGAGAAAATATGGAAGCAATAACTGAGTAAGACTTGTTTCCAAAGCCCTTGGGGTTAACACAAGCTCAAGCGCAGCCTTAAAATGAAGCTTAGAAAAGCCAACAGCAAAAAGGAAAGTACATTACATAATAAGTCCCCTATTTGGTCTATTTTAAGATGTACATTTTTTCTGCACTTTTTAATATTCCTGAATGGAGACGTCTTTTAACTAACGGTGTGTCAGTTTAACTGCCACAAGTTTTTTTCTTTCTTATATGGTATATGAAACAGCATTAAGGGCTCTTAATGCTACAATTAAAAAAATACAATTTAACCCATTATTTCCTGTGCTTATTTGAACAAAAAAAAATTCTTTTTTTTTTTTAACCTAACACCAAGAAACCTCTTATGGAACTAATGTTCTAAGAAACTCACTTTGCGAACAATGACTTAGAGTGTTTCAGAGTCTAGAGAACCGACCATTTAAAAATGAAGTAATATCTTACAACTTCTCTACTAATTTAATAAAAATCACAGTTCATTTTAGAGGACACAGGAAAAAAACCCTCCTAAAATAAATAACCCTACAGCTCCCTAATCTCTAAGGTAAATTTGTTTCTCCTTTAAACAGAATACAAAAGGAAAACTTCATGAAGAGAGGCTTTAAAATGTAGAAATACATGAATATTGTCCTACACTAACCCTCAAGCAGGAATGACAAGAGGGCCAGAAATGCACAGGGAATTTAAATATTTTAAAAGGGTAACCTAAATTGAACTCATGTGATTTTCCTTTCTGGTTTTTTCCTCTTTCCATCAGACATAGAATCTATGGATTAGTAAAGGAGAATAAGAGGAAAAGTCCTGAAAATTCTACTGATAATCTCATCTTCTTTCTTCAACCTAATCATTGTTAACCGGAAAGCTCTGGCTCCCAGGAAATTCCCTAAAAGAGGCTGATAGAGTGGGAGCCAGCAGAGGGGAGAAGGGAGCTATGATGCTTGTTCCTGGGCTTTCCACTGTGTAATCTACAAGCAAGAATTTCTTGTACACTTTTGCCCTGTGCATGCTTATGGAAATAGAATTCTGATTATTTAAGAACATGTGTAGAAATATCCTGTTCAAGAAATATAAAGCAATGTCTGACTACTATTTGGAACAGAAGATTATCAAAATAATTTTCCAATCTATTACTAAATATGACATTCCCTATAACTTTATAATAAAAAGCATTAAGTCCTTCCTTCAAATAAATTATATATTAAAACAGTTTCTCTACCTAAACTAAAAGAAGAGATATTACCTGGAATAATTCTGAGAAGTCCTACCTTTTCTTTGCAGCTGGAAAGCATGCTAATAATGCTAAGACAAACTGACTGGACTGAGAGCGCTGGGGACCAGTCTTCTGTTAGAATGGATAAACAGATATGACCATTGCTATAAACATGAGGATGAACGGGAATATTTTCACCAGTAAACATGACCTAAGAAAGAATAAAATTCCATTAACACTCAAATATTCTGTATTACCAAAAAATTAAATATTCTCCACATAACTTAATATTTTAAAAACCAAATTAAAAACAAAGAAAATCAGTGCTAGGAACCAGATAAACAACTGCTTGTTGTTTAGTCTCATCAACTCAGTAAATACTGGTTTCACTGTATGAATGACCAGGTAGTAGGGGAAAAAACCAGATTATTTCATATTTCAGGTATTTTTCACAAATTCCTTTAAAAATTTTTTAAATTACCATGTATTTTTAGACTAGTAAAAGATAACCACATTTATAAGAATGGTTTTTCAAATTCTACTCGTTACTCTCTGCTTACAGAAATCAAATACACTAAAATTCCAATCAAAAGTATTCAATTCTGAGACAATGTGAGTTACAGGTGGTAGAAACACTCCTTCCACCTCTAAGAATGCTACCACCTAAGGTCCTATATGCAAAAAGAAATGACTGCTATACATTCCACCTCCTCTAAACTAACAGTCCATTATGATGGGCAAAAATTACTACTTATTAATCAGCAAATAACTGTGTGCCTAGACAAAAAAAGATTAAGTCTCCCAATTACTTGTTGTTTTGCTCTGCCTTTTCTTTTACTCAATTCTTCTAACAGTTTTTCCTTTCTCCATCTTGCCTCAACACTGTTGTAAAAGGTAATAAATCTATTATTTCCTTCCTTTGCCCTAATACTTCAACAAATATCTCAAGAGTAGTGTTTCTTAAACATATCACTCTAAGTGCCTGAACAAGGAGATTAAATTCATATATCCTGAGAATCTGTAAGCAGAGCCCAAAGTAGGTCAAAGAAAGTAGAAGTCCTATATTTAAGAATGTTTAGGGCCGGCCCTGTGGCTTAGGCGTTGGGTGTGCGAGCTCCGCTGCTGGCGGCCTGGGTTCGGAATCCGGGTGCGCACTGACGCACCGCTTCTCTGGCCATGCTGAGGCCACGTCCCAGATACAGCAACTAGAAGGATGTGCAGCTATGACATACAACTGTCTACTGGGGCTTTGGGGGAAAAAATAAATAAATAAAATTATTAAAAAAAAAAAAGAATGTTTATACATGTTACTTCACAATAAATTATTTATTTTGATATAAAAATGAATCCACCAATCTTTAATTTTATATTGCAGTAAGATGTACCATTTTTATTCTGTTGTTTATTAGTAATTCCTAATTCCTGACCTGGCCTCAAAAAAAAAAAAATCACCTGAAGATCTCGCTAAAAATACAAATTCAAGGGCCCCACTTTCACAGATTCTAATTCAGTAGGTATGAGTGGATTTTTATAAAGCTCATCATACATAAACCAGTAGTTCCCCAACCATACTTACAGTATCTCTCTCAGCCCTGCAAATGGTCTCACACTTGAATACAGCAGCATCTTACTAAGAAACCCTACTTTAAGTTATGACAGAACCTGATGAAATATATATTGCTCTAGACATACCCCTTTTTTCCTTTATAGAGCAGAAAAGAGAGCCAGTGAAATAAGTGTGGCCAGAGCAAGGTATGTCATAGTTTAATATGGGATATGTTATGGGAAATTACCATAGGCTAGGTTTTTGCTTTTATTTTTAAATATCTAGCTACAAATCTGCTTTTATTACAATTTTAGAAATATTTACATTTTAATAAAGCATTCTTTCATACAAGTAGGAATCCTCTAATGTTTCAAAATACTACTAACATATGGGACTCATTTCCTTGGCTGAAGTTAGTATAAGACAGCAAAAGGAATTTTTTCTCAAAGGAAAGACTTTATACACTTACATATATTTTTTTCTTTGAATTCTGGCCATCTACCCTTCATTCCCACTAAAAAGAGCTAAAATAAAGCTGAAAAATAAAAGTCAAGTCTCAAAACAAGAGATATTAAGTTACTTGCCCTGCGCAATTGCAGCAAACCCCCTGACTTGGGCACAGCTGTGTTCGAGGTATACCATTTATCTTAATTATGTTTATCAGTGCTAGTGCCTTTTTATCACTTTTTGCTAAAAAAGTGCTGTTCTGGGGGCTGGCCCGGTGGCGAAAGCGGTTAAGTGCGCACACTCCGCTGCGGCGGCCCGAGGTTCGCCGGTTCGGATCCCGGGTGCACACCGACGCACCACTTGTCAAGCCATGCGTGGCGGCGTCCCACAGAAAGTAGAGGAAGATGGGCACGGATGTTAGCCCAGGGCCAGTCTTCATCAGCAAAAAAAAGAAAGAAAGAAAAAGAAAAAAAGAAAAAAAAGAGGAGGATTGGCAGATGTTAGCTCAGGGCTGATCTTCCTCACACGCACACACACAAAAAAAGCACTGTTCTGCAACAGGAAATGACTGCTTAAATGGTCTTTCAGTTCCACACTTTGAATCTATCCACAATTTAACTAAATTTTGTTTTTTATAAATATGAACTATAGTTTATTATATCCTGTTCATTTGATATCCCCACAATGTGTTGTAGATGTCTACAGTGGGAGTTTACAAATCTCCCAGAATATGCATTTGCTCTGAGGTATTCATTTTGCCACAAAATGCTATTTGAGCAATGGTATAAGAACACAAGCAACGCCTAAGAGCTTATTCCCTGAACACAATTATGTTTTAAGGGTTTCTTTTCCAGTGAGGTCTCTTTTTTAAGAAGTCAAATAGAAGAGTGCTTTGAAGAGTGCCCAAAAATGAAGAACTGCCAAGTTATCTTCTTTGGCAAAAATGAATCAATGTATCAGCAACCATCAAGGAAAAAGCACACAGTCAAATACAAAGGCTATCACATGTCAATTCACAGAGCAGAAGGAAAGCAGTATTTTTCTTGGAGAGAAATGATTATAAACTAAATTACTTGGCCTGAGAGCCACGAAATATGCATGAACCAAAAGGAAAATGGAGAGAAGGGAAAGAAAAGGGATGAGTAGCAGTAGAAGACACCCATAGCAGAAGCAGCAGACATTCTATAAGCAGAGAAGAGAGCCAGAAATCAAGACAGAAACAGCTTTGAAGTCTGAGGGGACCGAAATAAAAATAAATCTGATCTCAACAATAACCCTAAAAAAATAAAATAAAAGCAGAGGGCTTTTTAACATGCTGCATGCAGGGCAAATGCAGCCAGGCTGAAACTTTTAGCAACCAAAAACAGGGAATTACTTAGTTGCACATATTACAGGTAACCCCTAGGGCCTAACCTGCCAGATATATAATTTTAGAAGTTTATCCAAACACGGGAAGGCTGAGTTTACATGCCAGAGTTGAATTCCCGAGTTTATTCATGTAAAAGTCTGGTTAGCAGTTACCACAGACAGTTTCGAGGTAAACTTTGGTATTCTGGTTCTCTGCATGTGATGGGGAGAGTAACCAAGGCTGAATTTCTTCAAGACCATGCTCTTAACCATCCTCTTTATTTAATACACAGCATAAGCCAAAGGAGGAAACAGATATTTCAGTTATTTTAATGCGGCCAAGCAGGTTCTGAAAACTTAAGAGATGATTAAGCTGTTTCCAGAGTTCAAAAGATTTTTTTTGAGTCCCAAGTAGCTGATAAAACTATCTAAAACAGGTGTGACAATTGAATAAAATGAATTTGAAACCAAAGGGAATAAATAAGAACTCTGTTAATTATTTTTTAAATTATTTATTTTTAAAATAATTTATTCAGATTCAAACTAGTCATACAGATTAAACGTTAGAAAACAGAGTCTGCACACATGCCCTATTGCATAAACCAAACTGAGCAAAATGGAATTACAGATTTTTAAGAACAAGCTATTTGATGGGGAAAAAGTCAGAATTTTACAAAAGGATCTTAGATCTAATGCACGTGCATCACGTCTGAAGTTCTTTTTTTTTTTTTTTTTATAATTTTTATTCCCCCCAAAGCCCCAGTAGATAGTTGTATGTCACAGCTGCACATCCTTCTAGTTGCTGTATGTGGGACGCGGCCTCAGCATGGCCGGAGAAGTGGTGCGTGGGTGCGCGCCCGGGATCCGAACCCGAGCCGCCAGCAGCGGAGCGGGCGCACTTAACCGCTAAGCCACAGGGCCGGCCCATGTCTGAAGTTCTGAATCTGCATTAGAAGCAGTCCTCAGACGTCTCTAAATTTCCAAACATCTCCCTCTCAGTGTGGCTCTAATTTTAAAGGGCAGGTGAGATCTAGAAGAGAATTATCTCAAGATCTTTTTAAAGTATGCATATCCCACATCCAATCTAATTTTAAGCAAGCCAACCCCTGCGAAACCTCTGGGTACTGAATGCAGTATCTTTCATAAAACTACTAAAATCTAAACTGAAAGCCACCAATAGTGACAAATTAAAGGATGGAGATTAGGTAACTGTTTCTAATATGAAATTCATGATACTCGAACAAAAGGATTTTAAACATCAAGCCCGATAACAAATGACCTCACAACATTGAGATCTTACCACAAGGAAGGCACACTACTGTGTTCAGACTAGTGCTCTGGAAGTAATTAGAAAGTCAGACACCTAATATGGTGTCAAGCTAGGTCAAAACACAGTATGAACAGAATGAGCAGTACAAAACAGGCTATAATTACAAAAACCAATCTACAAGGTTTCTCTAGCGACAATATGAAGGAATGTTTCTTCTGATTAAAATTATGAGCAGATGACAATACTTAATGGGCAACTATAACAGCTGAATGTACAAGCAGAGAGTTTACTGTAATAAACTAAATCAGACATCTGATTATGAATAATATATGATATAGGTAGTCTAGAATAAACGGTAAATATTTGACAAAAGTGACTGGGGATTGGAATTTTAGCATAGTTTTCAATTCAGTTCTCTTTTTAGTCATCAAATATGTATCAGCAGCATCAATATTAATAGTTTTCCTGGTCTTCCATAATTACCACTACCATGTAGCTACACATGTATTGTAAAGACAAGATTCCTGGATACAATGAAACTAAACTTGGGTTCCCTTGGATGGTAACCATCCTCTCTCCCTTATACCCTGTGTTCTTCTAG